TAATTATTATGATAATTAGTTAAGTTTTTCTATTGCATTTGATGATTGAGGAACCCTACTATTGTTTATTTCAATTCACGATGATTAATTTAGGTATTTCTTGATTGATTTTGCATTCTCCTTACACTATTATTTAATTGTTTGGCTACCAATTGAATAGCTAGTTACTTGTTGTAGTGTAAAAATATTCACAATAAGTTTTGAACGCGATAAAATCTACACATGTGCAATAAGTATTAGGAATAATATCTATAACATGTGCAATCATGTAGATAACCAAAACTAAATGCATGGTTTTCATATGAATTCGAACTAGGAATATGATCGGGTTGTGTTATCTTAGGTTGGTGTATCTTGAAAAATAACATTTAATATGTTAGCATTATAGTTTGTCAAAACTGCATGAAATTGCCTACATTATTAATTGATAATTAAAATAGATGGAAATAGGGGAATCATGAATCAAATACAAGCATTCACATTCATTAAAACTATAATTTACTTGCTTTATTAGTATAGATTAGATATCGTATAAACAATACAAAATCACTATTTTGCTGTCACTACTCACTCGAATTGAATAAAAACTATTGAACCACATTTTAAATCTTATTTCTCGTGGGAATGATAAACTCGAAACTCACTATTTATATTACTTGTACAACGATCCCGTATGCTTACGAGTTTCACTCATGAACAAGTTTTTGGAGCCGCTATCGGGGAATAACGGATTTAATTTTAGTTTAATAGTTTATATTATGTTCAGTTTTTATTCTTTTTAGGCTTTAATTGAGATACCTAATATTTTCTTGTTTCACTTTTCGTAGGTCTTTACTGATTTATGCAAGTTCTTGACATGATTATGATTCTCCATATATATCTTGAGATTGAAATGACTTTCAAGCAACACAGAAGTTAACATAGGAGAGTTAGGGTAATGGTTTGGAATCAAAATCAAGTTCAAGATGCACTACAAGAAGTAGCACTTTCAATTCAGCAACCACTTCTACTCACCCGGTATTAGTTGAGGATTATGTTAATCCAATGCCAGCTCCAATTCAACCTCTGATTATCTATCTACCCTTCAGACTTGCTAACTTTCACATTTGACTAGATATCATAAACCTGTTCCAGAATCATCATGACATCAAGTTCTGTGGAAAGGCCACGAAGAATCCTCATGAACACATACAAGCCTTTATCTCATGCTATGCGAAATGATAAGCCACGAGGGAATATCACAAAATGTATTTCAAATGCGTCTATTCCCTCACACCCTGGAGGAAGCCGCAAAAGCATGAATATTTTCTCAACCTTCTGGGAGCATATAGTCAAGGAATAACATGGTTCAGAAATTCACCATGAAGTTCTTCCAGCCAACTCGAGTTCATCAAATTCGGAATGAAATACATATGTTTAAATAGAAGGATCTTGAGATCTACCCAGAAGCATGAGAACAGTGCAAGAGTTTGTACGGAATGTCACAATCTAGACATTTCTAAGCAAACTTAAGTGTACCTATTCAACTACAGTATACATCAGGAGTTCAAAAACATGGTAGATGCTTCAACGGAAGAATTGATAATGACTATAAATGTGGACGATACTTATGAAGAGTTGTATGAGAGAATAGTAAAAAATAAATTAATGTAGCCGAGCAACAAGGAAGCCCAGACAAAAACAACTAGAATACATGATGTCGACGCAATGACAGCGTTGGCAGCACAGATAGAGGAAATGCACTTTGAACAATTCTTTGAATATTCTACAAATTCCAATTCCGATGTACTCATGTTGTTGGGTTGATCATATCACTGCAAGCTGTCCTTTGGCCTCTACTCACATGGGTCAACCAACAGAAGTCAGTTATGCACAAAATTTTTAGAGGCAACAGATCTACCCTATCAATTGCCATCCAAATTGGAACAAGTAGCCAAACTCCTCATGAGCCAATAATCAAGGGCAAAATTATCATAATAGACCACCAGAGTTCCAACAGCAACAACAACATCAGCCAGAGTGAAGGCTATCACTGGAAGATTTGCTATCTTAGTACAAGACAAAGACTGAGGCCAATTTCCAGAATTACTATGTTTTATTAAGATTGTGGAACAGTATGTGGGACAGATAACAGTTGCAATAGCCAACAGACCACAAGGTACCTTGTCTGGCGACATAGAAAAATCCATGGGAGCATGTACTAGCAATTGAGGCGATGGGTTCTGAATCTAAAGAGTCACCATCATTCATCCCTACTATTCAGGTTTAGGTTATCACCACTAGAAGTGGGGTTTAGCTACCTGAAATTACTACAAGAAGGAACAAGATTGAGGGTACTTAAGTATCTACAATGGGCAATGAACAAGTGGAATATTCTAAAGAATTAAAAGAGAAGGATCAGAAAATGTCTTCGGACAGTTCACAGGTTAAGGTAACAGTTCCTATCAAAGCACTTGCACAACCCGTCTCATTTCCTTAAAAGTTGTAAAATACCAAGCTGGAGAAGTAGTTCACAAAGTTTCTGGAAGTCCTCAAAAAGTTGCATGTCAACATCCTTTTCATTAATGCAATCATTCAGATTCTAAACTACTCCAAGGTTTTGAAGGAAATGTTGACTAAGAAGAGGAAGTTGCTCGAGCATGAAACAATAGCTTTATCTAAAGAGTGCATTGCAATCATTCAGCATAGGATCGCTCTCCAACTTAAAGATACAGGGAGTTTCACTCTACCTTACTCCATATGAAATTTACATGATATAAATTGTTTAATTGACTCATGAGCAAGTATTAGTTTAATTCCCTTACCTCTTTACAGGAAACTGAGATTGGGAGATCCCAAGGCGGCTTCTATCATCTTTAAGCTGTGGACAAATCGCTTGAACACCCCTAAGGAATAGTCGAAGAAGTGCTAATCAAGGCGACATATATTATTTTTCCAGTTAACTTCATCATTCTGGATATAAGAGGCAAATCAGAAGCCGATAATCATGGGAAGGCCATTTTTGTCAACAAGTCGGGCCTTGTTGGATTTTGGTACAAACGAATAGTCCTGAAGGTGGAAGATAAGCAACAGAGGTTTACTGTGGAAAATCCACTCAAGCAGCCCTCCTATTTGGAGGATTGCCAAAGATTGGACCATTGGGATAGCTACAAGAGCAGGCCAGATGACAGTGGAATTGTTGGTATGGACAACGATGAAAATTTGATTATGTTGAGGATGAAAAATGAAAGAAGAAAGTGCTAGGGCCGAAATTTTCATTTTCAAGCCACCATGAAGAGCCTAAAAACAACACGAGTCAAGTTAAGGACTTTAAAACAACGTGCATATTGAGAGGCAACCCAATCTTTTTTTCCTTTTATTTATTATGCATTATAGTCATAGGATAATTTAGATTAATTATTAGTTTTAGTTAGGGAATCATCCTCCTCCTCCCATTTTCCCTTAAATCTTTTATACATTTGTTGGTTTAGTAGATGTTTAAGTTAAGTAACACTTGTTCTAGATTTTTAAGTCTTAATGCTTTATTTGACCGTTTTGTGTAGAAACATGATGTTGCGGAGCACTAAGCGAACATTGATCAATGAGACAGTGGGAGCAATATGACAAGCTAGCCATTGAATTTTACCTCATATTGGAGGAGTATTTTCTTCATTTTCTTCCCAATCCCTTTAGCGGATTTAGAATTTAGATATTGAGGACAATATCTAATTTAAGTTTGGGAGTGAAAGACATGAGTTTTCTTTTGTTTTGTGTGTTTTTATTGCATTAAGATATACAGAAAATATAAAAAAATTGAAAATTTCCCAAAAAAAAAAATTGTGCTTGGTTGGCAATTCATAATATATTGAATTAAGAATTGATTTATGAATGGTGAATGTCTGCATGCTTAGGTTTATTTTTGTTTTCCATGTGAAGTTTGATATATATTCGAACATTCTTTGGCGTGCGACCTATCTAGCCATCCCTTCAATCATCGGCTTGGTCTTGACTTATGTGGACGTGAATGTGACTCGGCGTCTATTGGTCTCGTTTTCAGGGGTCAACAATATGTATATCTTATTAAACTCAAATATGTGGCATACATATTTTGGAAATTTCTTAAGAAGATTTTGCAAATGTGCATATTGCAAACAAAAGAGCTTCGCAAATAGATGGTACCAAATTATTGTCCATGAGGGACATACATATAAATAAATCATTGAGGGGGATGGACTTAAGTCCATAAGGAGTCACCTCCAAGAATAACCAAACCTTTGTAATTGAAGATCTTATGAAGAAGGTTCAATGTAGTAGAAACAACACACACTGTGTGATTTGTAATAGCATTATATTATTTGTGCTCATCTTTATGGTGATAGTGCTAATAAATGTGACGTCAGGAAGGGTTTAACCCTGAATGAGTACCAATGCGACAATTCTTGCGAGGTACGAGTCCATGCACCCTTAGAAGACTCATCTATGTAAGAGTTTCCATGAGATCATAGCTATGGGATTGGGCCATTCCTTAGAGATTCTTACTAAAATCAAGATTAGAGCGCATGCCCATTAAGAGCGATACCCACTATGAACTAGATCCTAAATCGTTATCGTGGATGGGACAATTGAAATTTGGTTAAAGAGATCTAATTCAAGGTTTAGTCCATTGTGCCTCTGCTTAATAGAAATTGTTATCACTAAGTGAGGTTTTAAGTACAAAAAATACATGCACCTATTGTGCAGTATAATGTTGCTACTAGATACATTATATATTTATTTGTTTTGAAAGTTTAAATCTTGTGAGAGATTATTGTAACATTTTTTAAAAAGAGCTTTAAACACTCGAAATAAGATGGACGAAAGAGAAAAATAAGTCTATTTTCATTGGGGACGAAAGTGAGTATTAATCTTTTCTTATAAACAATTATGGCAATAACATTCCATGAATTGGACCCCCACCAAGCTGTGACGTGCAAAAACATTATCATTCCTCGGCCAGTGCCAATGACCGCATAGGAAAAAAAATGAGCACAATCACCACCACAACAGAGATTCCACCTTATCATCTTCCACCAGCAAACCACCCGACTGAGAATTTTCCCATCTCCCAGAAAACAATCTTGAATTTTCTGAACACAAAATGCAGCACTTCCATGGAAAATCTCAAGCAGGCTCATGCTTTAATCCTGAAAACTGGTCATTTTCAAGACCATTATGTTGCAGGGTCCTTAGTGAAATGCTATGCAAATCCTCGATTGGGAAGCCTAGAGAGTTCAATAAGAGTTTTGGAACATGTGGAAAATGCAAATGTTTTTGTATGGAATTGTATCATTAAAGGGTGTGTGGATAATAAAGAATTCTTTAAGGCCATCTGTTTTTATATTGGGATGGTAAGTGCAGATTCCAGGCCTAATAAGTACACATATCCACCATTGTTTAAGGCTTGCACTATAAAGGATCTTATTGCAGAAGGGATGCAAGTCCATGGTCATATCATTAAACATGGACTTAATGCAGATGGCCACATAATTAGTTCAGGAATTCAGATGTATGTGTCTTTTGGACGTCTCGAGGATGCCCGAAACATGTTTGATGAAAGTGCACAAAGAGATGTTGTTTGCTGCAATGCCATGATTGATGGTTGTATGAAATCCCGGGATGTAGAATCCGCTAGGAAGTTGTTTGAGGACATGAAGGAGAAGAACGTTGGCTCTTGGAATACAATGATCACTGGCTATGCTAACAATGGACAGATTGAGGAGGCTAAGAAATATTTCGATGAAATGCCAGAGAAGGATGCGGTATCTTGGAGTGCAATGATTGATGGATATAACAAAGGAGGGTATTTCAAGGAGGCTTTGGAAGTTTTCAATGCAATGCAAGGAGAGGAAATCAAGCCTAGTAAATTTGTTTTTTCAAGTGTGCTGGCTGCTTGTGCTAATGCTGGGGCTCTTGCTCAAGGGAAATGGATTCATGATTATGTTAGAAGGAATTCAATTCCATTGGATGCAGTATTAGGGACTTCTTTGGTGGATATGTATGCTAAATGCGGACAAATTGACTTGGCGTGGGAAGTTTTCGAGAAGATGAAACATAAAGAAATATTTTCTTGGAATGCAATGATTGGGGGACTTGCAATGCATGGCCGAGCAGAAGATGCAGTCGAGCTCTTCTTGAAGATGTTAAGGCAAAACTTGAAACCAAATGATATCACATTTACAGCACTTCTAAACGCTTGTGCTCATACAGGATTGGTTGATAAAGGCCTAGAGTATTTCCATTCTATGGAACAAGTTTATGAACTAAAACCAACATTAGAGCACTATGGATGTGTCGTTGATCTCTTAGGTAGGGCAGGACTTATAACTGAAGCACTCGAATTAGTAAGTCGTATGCCAATGAAGCCAAATGCTGTTGTTTATGGAGCCCTTCTAAGTGCTTGCAGGATACATGGCAATGTTGAGTTAGCGGAGAAAATCGGGGAAACCCTGCTTGAATTGGAGCCTGAAAACAGTGGTCGATATGCATTGCTGTCAAACATCTATGCAAAGGCAGGGAAATGGGATAATGTTGCAAAATTGCGAAAATCAATGAAAGAAAGAGGGATCAAAACTATCCCGGGAAGCAGCATGATTAATTTGAATGGCATTGTTCATGAATTCAAAGTAGGTGATTCGTCCCATCCACAAATAAGGGATACCCATTTGATGCTGGAAAAGATCATTCAAAAGATTGGCCATGTGCCTGATACCTCACAAGTTTTGTTTGATATCAGTGAGGAAGAGAAGGAAACTGCACTTACTTACCACAGTGAAAAGCTGGCAATAGCATTTGGAATACTACATACTGCTCCCGGAACAACCATTCATATTGTGAAGAACTTGAGGGCCTGCAAGGATTGCCACACAGCTGCCAAACTGATTTCTCAAGTATACAAGAGGGAAATAATTGTAAGAGATCGAGTGCGATTTCATCGTTTTAAGAATGGACAATGTTCTTGCAATGATTTCTGGTAGGTCAAGATGTAGGACTAGTGGCAAAATAAAGATAGAAATAGAGCCCATTTTGTTGAACTACATAAAAAGTCAGTTGCAAATTTGACTTGTGATTTTTTGAAAAATTGCACATTTATGTTGAACCACTTGATGTAAATGGGTACGCTTTTCCCCCACATCCCTATGTGTAGAGGGGATTTACTTTTTCTATTAAACCATTTGATCTTTAAGTTGTTAGATAAGGTTAAATGTATACCATTTAAATATAATAGTCAACAAAGGCCTCCTACAATCCTGCCCTCAAACTTCAAATACGGACTTTTAGATCTCTAACCTTTAGCAACTCTTGTTGTTGTATTTGTTCACATATTTCAAATTTGGACTAAAATATACATCAGTTTTCATACCTTTTGTACTAGTGGTGTTGGTGATATTGGTTTTAGGTGAGGTAACGATAGTGGGGATAGTGACACAGAATGTTGAATTGGAGGTGGCGAGTGGCGAGAGTGGTGGTAGGAGGTAGGGGGCTTGGATTGGAGAAAACTACGAGTTGGCTTTTTATGTTATTGTATCTCCCTTGTATTTGTTATCTATTTTAATTAGGGTAATTATATTATAACTACAAATTTTGTTGCCGTGTGGTTGATTATAACCATAAAATTTTGATTACAACAAAGAAGTTAATTTTGTTTACTAATAAATTGAATTTAAATGATTATAGTCTTCAAAATGTTCGATGATAAAATTAATCGTTCGCCGTCAGAAGAACAAAATCAAGATATCATCACAAATCGAATTCATGAAGAAGGTCAAGATCGAAGTCACGCATTCAAGGCACAATCCTTTAAGATCAAAAGCCTATGAACCAAATTTCAAAAAAATATCAAAGACAGACTTTTTAGTTCAAATGTAAAGGTAAATACTTTGATATATAGGAATGAATGATTAAAGATAAAAAATCATTTTATGCACTAAAATTTATTTTAATTATCACTTGCATAAATTTTTTTTTTTATCAGAGGTCAACCGGATGGCACATCCAGTCGATCAAAAATCCAACGGTTCAAAAAATTTAACCATACTGACTTTTGACTTTTTTTTGTCCAACAACTATATTTTGGTTATCAGAACTTACAGAAATTTTTGCTAATTGTTTTCTATAAATAAGTTCTATTTTTTTGCAATCAAAGTAAGGTCTTTCAAGTGCATTAAAGAGAGAAATATTTTTAGGCAATCTTTGAAATTACATTGCATTTATTTCTTTTTCATATTGAAAAACTTTGATTGATAGAATCAAATTTTTAATTATCATATTCATCAAAGTTTCTTACCTTATACTTGAGCTATTATTCATTGTTATTTATTGAAGTATTAGTCTTTTTTGGTACTTTATTTATTATTATCATTTATTAAGAGAGAAGTTTTATTGAAAAATCATTTTTTTTAAGTTGTGGGTCGTATTGAGGTTCCTTGGAAGCTCAATATTGTACAATGGTCGATTCTCCTTGTTTGTGAGTCACCAAAAGCGTTGTAAGGAGTATGATTGCACCATAAGTTAATCAATACAGTGAAAAGATTTGGCTCATGACGGAAAGCTTAGTAATGAATAACGTAGATCATTGGTTTCGATCGAACCTTCACAATTATATCGTTTGCATCCTCGCTTCTCTTTTACTTATTATTATTTTGATTAAGTTTATTATTTGGTTGATCTACTTGTTCTTAACTTGCTTGATTTAAGAATAATATTTGAAAAAAAAAAATTAAAAACCAATTCATCATCTCTTGTTGAGTCATTCTTGGGCTATCAATTGATATCAAAGTAAGGTGCTCACTTTGAAATGAAGATTTTACAATCTTGAATAACGATTAACCATAATCTTTAAAATCTTGATGGACATTCTACAAATTGCCATTCATTCTTTGATTGTGCTCATTATAACTATTGGAATGCTAGAATGATGATATATATTCAATCAATGGATTATAATATTTGGGATGTTATTGAATTTAGTCCTTATGTGACTATAAGACTTATTGGTAAATCCGATCAAATCATTTCAATAAACTTGTGAGTAAAATACGTGTCTCTCTTGGAAGATTGAAGTTCATTGAGGATGTTAATAAAAACAATAAAGAAGATGTAACACATATTCATTGGAAAAGCTCTATGAAACGGTGATGACATTCGAGCTAAATCACAAAAGACTAGATTATTGGTTTGGATCAAACATCTAAATTATATCATTTGAATCCTCTCTTCTCTTTTACCTATCCTTATTTTGTTAAGTTTATTATTTTATTGTTCTACTTGTTCATAACTTGCTTGATTTAAGATTAATTTTTAAAAAAGTTTTTAAAAGCCAATTCACCTTATCTTGGTTAGTCATTCTTGAACTATCACATTTTATTAAGCGTACCACAATTTTTAGTATTTTTCTTATTTACTTACATAGCCTTAAGTAAAATTACATACTTAAGGTTTTAATATACTTTTTAATAAAATAAATTATTGTTCACCCATAAATATAAACCTATTTTTTCCTTTCTCTCTTTCTTTCTTCTTCTTCTTTTTTTTTTTTTGTTGCCAGTCTTCTGCCTTTGCGATTCTCTGTGTTTTACAAACTTGGTTTTCTTCTTCAACTATAACAACAAAGGTAGCATTCAATTTTTTTATTTGGTTTATTAAGCCTTCGTTCCTTTTGTTTTTGTAGAAGAAGAAACATGTTTAGTTGCTTTCCTTTTTTAAATAACTTCTGTTTAGTTTGGTGTTTGCTGTCAGAAATAGTGTTTATATGAAGAGTATTCCTTTGAGTGCGATTTACTGAATTGATTAATCATGTAATAAAGCCTTTGATAAAATGTGACACATACAGTAATAAAATGGTGAAATTTTGAGGAAAAAACTTCTATGCAGAGTAATAGTTTTACATTCTTTGTGCCGTAGTTTTTTTTTTTTTTTTAAACAAAATTAGTGATCTCATGTTACTGATTTTTGTCATTGGAGTGTATATTTGTTTCACCAACTATACCTAATATGAGGTTATTTAAACTTAAACAAATTGATGTAAAACCCTAGGATATTGCTAGAAAATTGATGTAAAAGTAAAACTCATGTTTTATTGCTTAATCTATGTTTTCCAGCAATATCAAAAAGTAGGTTATTGATTTGTGAATTCATAATTCGCAAATTCCATGTTTAATAAAAAATATTGAAGCTTTTTTATCTGTCTTTATTTTTCTATATTGCTGAAATATTCTATCAGATTACATAAAAATCTTATAGAACTCAGAAATCTTTTTTTCTCGTCGAATTATGATATTTAGTTTAACGAGAATGCACGCAGCTATTGACACAACGACTTTATCAGAATTCTCGAAAATTGTTCTTAGTTAAAAAGAAGTTAGTTTTTGTTCTTATATTTTATTTTTTGCATGACTGCAATAAACTTGATTTTTTTGTAACTTATCATAATTTGTTTTTATTTGTTTAAATGTTAGGAAAATGAGGACGACTTCAATATATATGATTATACGTAAAACTTTACTATTGACCAAGTACGAATAAAGCATATGTTAAATTTAAGCCTACAACATTCAACTATTGTTACAAATTCTTTAAATTACATTTTTTTAATAATGATAGTGTAGGTATTCCATAGTCGATATTCATTATCTAATTGGGTTTGTACAGTTGGGTAAGAACTTGGTTTGATTATTGTTATAATACATTCTAAACGTGGTGGGTATGGATGCAAGCGGCATATACGCTATGAATGTTAGCGTAGTGAAAAATATAGAAAACTTAAAAATCACCTTAATCATGAACCAAAACAAAAGAGATTTGTTTGAACACACAAGTCCGAGTGCCCATTTCATCTAAACAGTGTGAAGTTGCCGAATGAGGACGATTGGATATTAAAGGTATTATGTGGACTATATAATCACCCAACGACACAACATTTAGAAGGACGTCCTTATGTAGCAAGATTAATTAATGAAGAGAAGCAGATCTTAATAGACGTGTCAAAAAGTTCGGTAAAACCTAGGAGCATACTTTGAAAAAATGGGTTCCAAATAATGTTAGCACGATGAGAACTATTTACAATGCACTTGCAAGGCGTAGATTGATTGAGAAGGCGGGAAAAACACAAATGCAACAGTTAATGAGCAAATTAAAAGAACACAATAATATCGAGTGACATAGGTCTCATGACAAAATAGATGAAGTTAAAGACCTTTTCTTTGTATATCCGACATCTGTGGATTTGTTATATGCCTTCTAATGTGTGCTTATAATGGATTGTACTTACAAAACCAACCGGCATTGACGCCATCTTTTTGAGATTGTTGGTTTTACTTCGATCCAGATGACGTTTTTAGTTGCTTTCATGTTCATGGAGGCTGAATGAGAAGCAAATTATATTTAGACAATGAAAAAGTTGAAAACATTAATGTACCATGATGTCTCGCTGCATGTTGTTGTCACAAATAGGGAACTAGAACTTATTCAGGTAGTTGAAAAGATTTTTCCTAGTGCCAAAAATCGATTATGCACATGGCACATATAAAAAATGTATAGGCTAATATAAAGAAGTTTTTTGATCGACAAGAAGTATATGATACTTTTTCTAGGAGTTGGAGCGTACTTGTTGTATTTATTACGGAGGAGATATATCAGCAATTGGCTAAAACTCTCTTTCTAATTTGAACAATTTTCGAAGATATTGGATTATGTTCTAAATCTTGGTTGAGTAAATATATAGAGAAATTCATTCCTGCTTGGACAAGTAAAATTATGCACTTTGGTAATATCAGACAATAAGTAACTTGTATAATACTTATAATTATTTGTATTGTCAACTTGTAAATTTTTTTAGCCGATTGTAAAATTATGCACTTCGGTAATGTCAGACAAATAAGTAACTTGTATAATACTTATAATTAATTGTATTGTTAACATTATTTGTTTTTACAATCGGAAAAAATATATTATCAATTTATCTGATTAAATAAAATATATTCAAATTTTTCACAAGTTTGAAAGTGCACATTATAAGTAAAAGAAACGTCTTGGATCGACACAAGGTGATTTTGAAATTTCATGGAAAGTTATGCATCATCTTTTGAAATTACAATTCAGTGAGATAAAAGTTTCGTTTGAACAAAGCATGAATTTGGTTCAGCATAATTTCAAATGTAGCATTTTTAAGTAGTTGTGTGGTTTCATGTTTAAGAATGCAATGGATCTTATATCAAGACAGTCAAATCAAGTATAATGTATTGGTTTGGACAAAAGTGTTTGTCATTGCACTCTTAATTCCACATATGATTTAGACAAAAGCTATATTTTTACTGTCAAATTTATATCTCGTAAGCGTACGAATTGTAACAAATAATAAAATGGACCTAAGATTCCGGATTATCATTCCCACGAGTATATAATTTAATAACTAATTTATTTTTTCTAACTTCTATTTGATTAAAAAACAAATTATGAATTCGTGATTGTTTATCTAGTTT